TTGGGGGGGGGTAGTTAGTCAGTCTACAAGGCAGAGTGTCTCAGTGGTCCCAGTCTGGTATCCAGAAACCTGAAGGTTCCTTAGAGCAGCTGTTCTCTAGTCCTGGATAAAACAGCGTCATCAGCATCATCACCACCATAGCACCATCAGCATCATCACCATCATCACCATCACCATCATCACCGTCATCATCACCATCATCACCATCATCATTATCAGCAGCAGCAGCAGCAGCAGCAGGGAAAATCAGGCCAGAGGGATACTTCCTTCTGCAAGACCCTTTTTATATGGGCCGCTGCCAGAAAGTGCAATCCACGATCCCAGTGGGTCGTCCCACATCAATCAAGGGGATCAGGAGAGTTCTTCAGGTGAAGCTTACTACTCAGATGGCTAATTTGTGACAAGCTGACATTAAAACTAATTGTGAAACTTACATGTTTGAAACATTCTCATATGTATAAGCATTTAAAGAATTTTGATGTGTTATTTATTGCTTTGAGCTTATTTATTTATCATTATTTATTCATTCTATGTGAGAGAGCACTTCTGGAGATTGGACTCTGGTTGCCATGTTTTGTGCCAAGCACCTTTTCCTGCTGAGTCATCTTTTGGTCCCAGCTGAAGCTCTTTTGTAGGATCACTTCTTGCCCAATCAAATACATTTACTTTTTTTTTTTTTTTTTTTTTAAGCCGGGTTGGCCTCAAACTCATTACATAGCTAAAAATGATGTTGAATCTCTGATTTTCCTACTAAGATTATACTTAGCCCATTTACTTAATATTATTTGTTTACTTGTAATAATAAATATGTGTATGTAAGCCATGGGGGATGTTCAGTGTCTTTCTCTATTGTCCTTTTCATTATGCATTTATCTATTCATCCATCCCTCCATCCATCCATCTATCTATATATCTGTCTGTTCATCTGTCTGTCCGTCCGTCCATCTGTCTGTCCGTCTATCTATCCATTTATCGTCTGTCCGTCCATCCGTCCGTCATCCATCCATCCATCCATCCATCTATCTAATCCATCTATTTGTAGATCAGGTTTCTTACCAAACCTGATTCTAGCCATTTTGGCTAGGCTGGCTTACTAGCAAAGTCCTGGGAGTTGCCTGTCTCTGCTCCCCAACATTGGAGCTGGAGACATGGGAGCTATGCTTGGCTTTTACGTGGATGATGAGAATTTGAACTCAGGCCCTATTGCTTTCGCAGCAAGTGCTCTTACCCACTGAGTCACCTCTCTTCCTCTTCCTCCTTCTTATTCTTGAGACAAGTATTTACTGAATAGCTCTGGCTGGCCTAGAACTCACTATGTAGACCAAAGTGGCCTCAGACTCACAGAGATCTGCCTGTGCCTCTGCCTCCTGTGTGCTGGGGTTAAAGGTGTACCAGTTACACCTGGCTCTTATTCTTGTTCTTTTCTTCCCCTTAGAGCTTTGCTGTGACTTTTGGTTAAGACCATATTTAAGTCACCTTAGTCCATTCTGTCTGCTGTTACAAATACCATACACAGGATGGCTTACAAACAAGTGACAGAAATTTACTTTTCACATCCTCCAGCCACTATACTAAGGAGTGTCTGTATTCTTTCATTAACTCTTTGTAGCAATTAAAAAATTAATATAGTGGAAAAGAAAAGATTGCTCTAACCCTAAAAAGATAAAATTGTAAAAATAGTACAAGAGGGACTGGAGAGATGGGTTAAGAACATGTGTTGTTCTTCTGGAGGACCTGCTTTCAATTCCCAGCACTAGACGGCTGCTCACAAACATCTTTAACTCCAGTTTCAGGGGCTTCAATGCATGCATGCTGTCTGTACTCTTGAGGCAGGAGGTTAGAGGTCTCATATACCTGTGACTTGGTTTCCCTTAGTGGTAGCAGCTCATATAACAAGTACAATAGCAAAGGTGGGATGTTTGTTTGTTTGTTTTTTGAGACAGGGTTTTTCTGTGTAGCTTTGTAGACCAGGCTGGCCTCGAACTCACAGGATCCACCTGCTTCTGCCTCCTGAGTGCTGGGACTAAAGGCGTGTGCCACCACTGCCCTGCTCTGATGCGGGATGTTTTGTATGCTGTAAATACGTTTCTCTTATTGGCTGATGAATAAAGCTGTTTTAGCCAATGGACGGGCAGGATTTAGCCAGGTGGGGAATCCAAACAGGGATAGAGAAAGGTAGTAGGCAGAGTCAAGGAGACACCATGTAGCTGCCGAGGAAGGTATAGATCCTGCCATCACTGGCAAGCCAAGACCATGTGGAGATACACAGATTAATAGGAATGGATTAATAATTAAGAGAGAGCTAGCCAATAAGAAGCCTGAGCCATCAACCAGTTTATAATTAATATAAGCCTCTGTTTACTTGGGACTGAACAGCTGCAGGACTGGGAGGGACAGAAACTTCCATCTACAGTGTCCTACTCCATAGTTCAGGCCAGGCTTACTATGTAGCCCACTCTGGCCTGGAAATCCTGGTACCTCACTTGCTTCAGCCTCCCAAGTACTGGGATCACAGGTCTGAGTTTCTAACTTGGGTTTCGCAACTTATTGTCTCAATTACTATTCTCTAATGTGTCTCCACAGAGCAGCAAGAAAGCTAAGTGCAGGCTTCGACTAGATCCTGATGCATCCAACCTGAGGACTGTACATCCCATGATAGTCATGGGTGTGGCCCATCACTAAATCACAAACTTTTGGAGCATGGTGTTATATTCCCTTAATCCAATCCCAGAATTTGGGAGGTCAAAGCAGGAAGATCTCTGGGAGTTCAAGGCCAGCCTGGCCTCCATACAGAGTTCTTCTAGGCTAGTCAGGACTGTATAGAAACATCCTTCAACTACCAAGTTTCTCCTGAGTGTTGAGCCATCCTTGGCTCCATAAGCTTCTTCTATTGGTCTTAAGCCATCTCCTCTGACCCTTGTTTTTCCATTTTCTAGGCAAGGGATGCTTTCTTTCCAAGAAGGGTGGGGGAAGATTCTGGACCACATAATCTCCCGAGGCCAAGAGCACTGGGCCTTGGTGAGGAAAGCTGTCCACCATTACCTTGAGCACTCTTGTATTGAGCAGAAGTGGGGCTGTGACTCTCTAGCCCATGCTAGGAACTCAGCCTAGTGTTCTATCATGTGTGTGCATGGGAAGACATACCAGCCCCGCCCCTCAACACAAAAGCTACAAGCTCAGGCAGGAGTTGGACTTGGTGCAAGAATGCAAGAAGTTGCATATCACAGGTTCCGGAGGCTATGATGGCTTCCCTGTTGGCCACCGAAGTCCCCACATCTCATGGTAATCTCCTTGGCCTTCTCAAGGGAGTTCTAGATGTCAGCGAGACTGCTACAATGATGATCTGTACAATTTGTCTCAGTGGGTAATCCCATTCAGATGTAGGATGCAAAGAGGGGCATTAAATTTTTTTTAATGCCTTTTGAAAAACGATTTAGTGTATGCATATGTATATAAACATAAACAGGCATGCACAGAAATGTGCCATGGCATAAGTGTAGAGGACAGGACAGCTTTTAGCAGTTGGTTCTCTCCACCTATGTGGGTTCCAGAGATTGAAATCAGGCCATCAGACTTGGTGGCAAGTGATTTTACCCACTGAGGCATCTCACCAGCCCCAAGACACTGGCATTTGATGCTCTTGAACTAGAATTCTGCTTTCCTGTCTGTGTTTGTTATGATTGTCTTGGGTTGGTTTAGATCGTGAGGCCTCATGGCTCTCTGCCTCCCCCACATTTTCTGTGGCTCTTTAGACCCAGTCTATCGCTCTGCCACTCTGTGGCTTTCAGAGAGCAGCCCCACCTCCCTAACAGAGTCTGGCCACAAAGCTCTCTAGAGAAAGAGTGCCAGGGTATCACCCACTTGCCAGGGTCTCCCATTGGCTTCTCATTTGGGCTTCCAATTTCTTCCAGAAAAACACTTGAACTTGATTGACCTCATACTGCTCTGAGGGTGGGGCTTCCCAGACTTGCCTGGCATTGGGCCATTTCTCTCTCCTGTAAAAGTTTTCTTACAGACTTCTTTGGCGTGACACTTGTAGCTCCATGGAAGTGCTGAGCAGGGAGCCTGGGTCTTGGGAATATCCCTTCCCTGGGCAGCTCAGGCTTGGCTATACCTGACAAATGGCTTATGGCTTGCAAGGGGTGGTTTCTTCTGTTCTTCAGGCCTGGTCAGAAGGGAGGCCAGGGCAAGGACAGGAAGACTGGGAACAAATGGCATCGATTTAGATTGGGACGTTTAAGAAAAATGTTCAGATAATTATTCTTTCCAGGCTAAATACCAACTGATTCAGCCTCCTCCCCCACATTGCCTGTCAGAGAAGGGTGGGCTCTCTCAGGCAGTCTCCATAGTTCACTGCAAATGGAACCCTGTGGTCCCCAGCTGACCCTAAACCCACAACAGCCTGTGGTACCCATTTACATTTTGCTCACTACTTTTTGAGAAGGTTCCAGGGATGGAATGCCATGTTTGCACTTCGGAGGGAAAGCCTGCCCCAGCCCTTTCCAAGATGATAGTTTTTGCACTGAAGGCCTGATGCCTGGCCCTCCCCATTGTCCTTGTTCCAGCACTCAAGGGAGTGCATGCCCTCTCAGCAGACAGGACTTAAGGATGCACTTCTGTAGAACTGGGGCTGGGAAGAAAAGGCGGGGTATACCGGTCAGAACAAAATCACTGGCACCTCCAGAGCCAGGGCTGCCTGGTGGGGCCCGTGTGTCGGGGGTGGGGATGGGGGGTGGTGAACTCATTGCTGCTGCCAATGAGTCAGCAGAGAGAACACAGGGATTTGAGTGAAGATTTCACAGTAGAGTCTCTCTCAAGAGAAGCCCAGTATCATGTCCCTGTGGGAGGGGGCTTCAGAGAGTGGGAGAGAGGAGGCAAGTGGGATAGAGAAGGCTGAGGTACCCTATAGTCCTGTTGGACCTTCCGCACATAGAAACACCCAGCCAAGCCATCCAGGTCAGGGACCACGGTGGACTGAAGCAGAGACAGACACCGGGGCAGACTCCAGAGGTTTGGTTTTATTGTGCAGCTTTTTTAACCCCCTCAGTGAGATGCTGTAAGCTGTGGTGGCATTACACACAGAGACAGGACAGGCAGGGCTGCCAGTGGGGAAGTGGGTGTTCACACTGGGTCTCTCTCCACCACCTGCTTCCCACCCTAGGTCCCAGAGGAGGCAGGGTGCACGATTCTGGTTGTCTGGGGAGGGGGGTCAGGGACAGCCAGAGGGGCTGGCACAGAGGGGCAACGGAAAGAACGAAGAACCTCCCTTAGCAAGCTGGGGCCAGCAGGGTGGCTCTAGAACCCTCCTTCCTGGACTGACTCAGATCCTGCAGGCAGAGTTCCTCTGCCATACTTTTCACTACAGGCAGTAGCAGTTAGAGACAGGAGAGGTGACATTCCCTTGCCTCCTACCCCTCTTTTTCCCCAACACTCTCTGGTGGAACCTGCATCTTTACTGAATGTGCCCTGGCTCGAGAGCCCCAGGGGACTTCTTCAGTGGTAGGAGGGGGATTGTATGTGGTAGCTGAGAATGATCTTGTATAGACTCAGTTCTCATCCTCATTGGATGGGCCACAAAGGCTAAGCATCCCCTGATATCTTGAGATCTTGAGGTTCCCTCCCTGCCCACTGGGCAATACTTTTACCAAGAGTATGACTGTGCCAGACACAGGCACACTCCAACTCCTTCATGTCTCTTTCAGGCATTTGGCCTGGTTGGCAAGGAGGAACTCCCCTCCAGGGCCTGGTGTCCTGCCACCCATCATACACCCTTATGCTCCTTTGGGTCCCCAGTCCTGGCCTCCTTGTCATAAAATCCCAGAGAAAAGAAAGGAGAAACATTATACAGACAGACAGAAGCAGCCCTGGAATGAAGAGTATAGAATGTCAGCCAGTGGTGTGCAGAGAGGGCGAAGTGTCAGAAGGGGATGGGCGATGGCATGCAGCGCTGGGGTTCCTCATGAAGGACAGGGTCCCCGTTTCTCCCAGAGGTATTTGAGGGGCTGGGAAGGAAGTTAGCTGACCCAGAGAAGCAGGACCTCTGTACTGGGCCTGGAGGCTTCATGTTTCTCTATGGACCCAACCCGTCACAGAGAAATGAAATCCATGGCTTGGAAGAAGGAGAGTGAGATCAGGAGCAGCAGCAGCCATGAGGTGTTCTGAACCAGCAGGCTTATGCCATCACACTTCACCAGCTTGTCTGTGGAGAGAGGAGGAGGTAAGGGGAGGAGGGTTAGCGAACCAACACCAGGTGTTAGCTCTTTAAGGTGGCTGCTGGCTTGATGTCAACGGCTCAACCTGATGGTGTAACAACTCAACCTGATGGTGTAACCCTAACCCTTCTCACCAGCAGTTTCCTCAGCTCTTGAATATATACCATCTACTACCAGCTCTGCCTGTCCGGCCCTCGATTCTACCCCACTCATACAGAGGGTAGCCGGTCCCCAGGAGATCAACAGCAGTAAGGGGGGTAGGGAAGGCTACTGGCTCCTCTCCCCTCCAGCCCAGCTAATGGAGCTGCTGCTGTTTCTTTGTTTTGTTTTGTTTTTGTAGGCAGGTTGGTTAGTTCCAGTGTGGCTAACCTGGCCATTTCATCTTTCTGGGCATGAGGCTCACCTCTGAGCACAGAGACATTTTGATTGGAGATCATGGGAGGACTCTGGCCAGAGACTCGAAGCTCACACGTGTAGGTGCCCTCATCCTTGTTCGTAAAGTTGGCTAAGGTAAGGACCTTGATGTTGTGCTGGCTGCTGACGTTGGTCCGGGAGCGGTATGTGTGCTCAGGTACCCCGAGGGTACCTGCGAGCACATGCTTCTTTTTCTCTCGGGTCAGGCTGAATTCATGCTGGATGGTCAAGAGGCTGTTGTTCTCATAACGACAGTCCAGACGAAGGTTCTGATCCACCAGGCAGGCTGTCAGACTGGTCACCTTCTGCCCTTGGGACATCTGCAAGACTGGCACAGCAGTGCCTTCTCTGAATTGGGGGGGGATACAGAACAGGGGCCTCCCACCTGCAGGAAGAGTAGACTGGGGCCTGGCTGGGAGGATATGGGGTTTGCACTAACCCCTGGGGTACTGGTGGGATATCATAACAACCCCCCAGACTCCAACTTCATCTCTAGTCTACTCAACCTGTGGGTCCCATCAGTGTTTCAAGAACAGGAGACCAAAGGGAGTTCTGAGTTCCTGTATAGAGTTTCCAGTTTGCCAAAGACCACCACCAACAGGCAGATCAGTGAGGTTGGGCCCTCACAGTCACCCGTGCCCCTGAGTCTATGACAAAGAGGGAAGAAAGCCCGATGCCCTGGAATGCCAGCCCTGCCCTTGCCCAGTACCTGAAAGCAGGACAGCGATGCCGATGACTGGGTTCATGGTGCCAAGGGTTCTGTCCTGGATTCTGGGGTAGGAAAGCTGGGTATCAGCCAAGAGGGGCCATATTTACTGCCAGGGCAAATGGCCCATGCAGAGCATGATAGACACCTAAGCCCCTCTCCTCCCCTCTTCTCTTTGAAGGTGACATTGCCTGAGGCTCTTGCCACCCAGAGAAAGCAAAGGAGGGGAGGCACATGTCCTGGGATGCTGTGTGTCTGTGCTGTCCCTGGAGTAACTCCCTGCTGGGTGATTTCATCACTTTTCTCTGGGATTTAAGACCCATGGGACAAGGATTGCCTACATTTAAATTTTTGATTTGGTAAACTACACATAACTTTTTTTTTTTGGTTTTTCAAGACTGGGTTTCTCTGTGGTTTTGGAGCCTGTCCTGGAACGTGCTCTTGTAGACCAGGCTGGTCTCCAACTCACAGAGATCCTCCTGCCTCTGCTTCCTGAGTGCTGGGATTAAAAGCGTGTGCCACCACCAACCCACAGGGCCTATGTGTATACTTCAGGAGGGTCAGGCTCTGTCATGTTGCTGTGCAGCCTGTCTCCAGAACTTAGTCAGTCTTTCCAAACGAACACTTTCATGCTCATTAAGCAAAAATACTCCCTTCTCCAGGGCTAGTTCAGAAGATCCCTAATGCCCAGATCATCCCTAGCATATAGTAGATATTCAATACTTGTTTATTCATTTATTTATTATTTTCATAGGGTTTCACTATGTAGCCAAACTGTCCCAGTCTTCTGAGTGCTGGGATTATTGGTATGCACCACCACCTGGCCTATTATTAATATTTTATTGAGACTGTACTTTATGATGCCCTCAAACTCTATCCTGCCTCACTCCTGAGAGCTGGATAAATGACATTTATTGATATATGAGGCTCTCTGAACCTTACATAAGAATAGGATTGTGGCCAGCTGTGGTGGTGGTCTTTAATCCCAGCACTTGCTTGGGAGGCAGAGGCAGGCTGATCTCTGTGAGTTTAAGGCCAGCCTGGTCTACAGAGCATGCTCCAGGAAAGCCAGGGTTGTTACATGGAGAAGCCCTGTCTTGAGAAAAATGGATAAGTAAATAAAGAAAGAAGGAAAGAAAGAAAGAATTTGTGATGGGGTTTAAGAAAATGATAAGCAGCAGGTGCTATGCTCCAGTTAGTGATCCAGACAGCTTAATGGCTAGGGATGGGGTCAGCATGTGTCTAGCTAAGGTTCTAGAGAGGTACAGGACACAGGATGTGAGTGAGAGACCAGAGACACTTGCAAAAGGCCAGCTCTCGAGGATTCATGGGGCTGCAGTTTTCTAGTCCAGTATTCATAGCTTGTCGACATAGGGTTTCTGCCACCACCAGCAACCCCTTCCTCCTCCCCGCCCCCAAGCGCCCCCTACTCAACACATTGGCAGCACTAAGCTTGTACACTAGCCTGGCCTTGCCCAAGAGAGTGCGCGGGCTCCACCCTAGGCTGCATACACAGGGCTCATGGCTCCCCACTCTGACAGTTTAAGGTTCCTGTGAATTTGGAACAAGTTGATCTTGAACTCACGATCCTTCTGCCTCCACCTCCTAAGGGCTGAGATTACAGGCTAGCCCACCACGCCCAAGCCCGCATAGGGCTTGGATCTGAGAACACTGGGTTATGGAGGAGGGAGTGTGGGCTTGGGATTCAGGGGAGGAAGAGGGAACCCTAGAGGAAAGAAATGGGGCTGGAGAAACCTGGCAGAACTAGATGGGGAGGTAGAGTGCACTGGCAGAGGTCCTGGTACCCCAGTCTCAGAAGCCCACATCCAGCCAAACTCTGTGCCTCTCCCCAAGGGCCCGCCTGGCTGACCCCACCCTGATGCCATTTCCGTATTTCGATCCTCCTCTACCAATTGAAGTTCCCCTCCCCCCAACCCGTTATCATCTTTTCTAGCGCTCCCCTCCCCTGCTCCTGCCACCCAGTCCCCTTCCGCAGCACTGCAGTTTCCTTACCTGAATTGCCCCGCACCCAGCGAGCTGCGAGGTGGCCAGGCAGAGACTCCCTCCAGGTTGTCACCTGCCACCTCCTTCGATTTGCACGACCCTCCCCCCAAACTAGAGATGTGAGCTTGGGGACCTCTGGGTGGAAGGCAGATCAAAGGTTGTCCTCGGTGTCCTTCCTCACTGTTCTCCTCTGGCACCCAGTCTCTGACAGTGCTGGGCACGGCCTCTCACTCCCGCCCAGCCTGGGAAGCAGTCCCTTCCCTCCCATCCCCCGTTCCCGCGCCCACATACTGGAGTGTCCTCACATCTTTTCCCAAAACTGCAGCTGGGAGGGCTTGCACCACCTCGCGCTGTGGCTGTCCCTGAGTGCAAAGATTCATCCTGGCTCCTGCTCTCACCTGGACTCTGGTAGCTGCAGCTTCCTCCGGATGCACCACCGCCTCCAGTTGCTGCACCCTGTGCGAAGCCCGCAGTTTTCACCAGGGGTGGGGGAACGGGGGAGCGGGGAGGGCCTCGGGGTTCAGCCAATCAGAGGCTGAGGAAAAGGATAGAGGGGGTGGGGTGGCGGGCAAGGGCGAGCCTGGGTGTGGGAAGGTGGCATGCTGAAGTACGGCTACCTTCAAAACTATGGCTGGCTGTTTAGGACCCCTGAATCAGGATGGGGCAGCCTCCTTCTCATACCTGGAGATGCTTGGTCTCTTTTAAAGGCTGTAACCCTTTCTCTGCTAGAGCCTTCAGAAGTCTGGACAACGGAAGTGTGCAGTAGGGAGGCCAGCTAGCTCCCCCCTCCTTTCCCTCTGGGCTGGCGCCTCCAGTGACAAGTTTTGGCTTTGGAGCCTGGTCTTTCTGCAAAGGGAATTGGTTAGTTGTTTTCCATGCTAGAGCAGCCTTTTGGAAGCAAGATAAGGGGTGCATCTGCCTGGCCCCTGCCTTTGCTGCCCGTGCCTGCCCACCTGCAGGTGCTCAGAGCACTTGGCTCTGCGGGGTGAGGGGTGGGGGTGGGGGAGGGGAAACCGTGCTTTCTGCTTCAGACTCTGAACTCGAGGGGGCACTTTTTGGCCCAGCCAGCTACAGAGTTCTCACTTCCATGAGTACAAGACGGTCCCATTTGGTCTTTGGACAAGGGAAGGAGCGCTGCCTTCTAGCAAGCCCTGCATCCATGGCCACATTCCATCCCTTCTCCCATGTAACAGACTCGCTCTATCTCACTCTTTGTTACTTCATGGTTGGTTGGTAAGTGTCCAAGCTGACCCATTGCAGGATTTTGGAACCCAAGCCCTCAGTGCTTAGTCATGTCGCTTTGCACTCTTCAGCTGGTAGTAGAGGAAAGAGAGAACTCTTAGCATGGAGATATATGACTAAGTGGAAAGGTTGAGCCCCAGTTTTTGTTCCGCAGGGACACCCCTTCTCTCCATCAACTTGATGTCAAGAGGCTCTTTTTAAATACCTATTGCTAATGATCTACTTGCTTATATTTATTGTTATTTTAAATAAAATTTAAAATTGTCTACATAGATATATACATGGATATATATATATATATATATATATATATATATATATATGCACACACATATATGTCTGTATGTGCATGGCTGAGGGCACATATTTGGAGGCCAGAGGACAGATTTCCAGAGTTGGCTCCTCCTTCTACCATGTATTTCACGGGGGGGGGGGGGGTTGAACTCAGGTTGTCAGGCTTGTTGACAAGCCATTTTACCCGAGCCATCTTGCTGGTCCTTATATTTATTTATTTATTTTTTTAAAGGCTGTCTTGATTTGAACCTCCTAGCCTCTGGATTCTGGTTGGGAAGTCTTGTGGGCTAGCCCTACCTCTCAACCATCTGCCTGCTCCTTCTTCTGTTTCACTGCAGGCTTCCACACTGCAATGCCATGGTTGGAAGCCATTCCTAGGCCTGCAGATGCAATTTAAGTCTCCTCAGTACTTGAGATGACAGGACATTCTGCAGGAGTGGAGACTATTCCTCTGGTAAGCCACTGAACTCCTGGGGTGCTTTTGGTAAGGGACTAAGGGACAGGGGTCCGGAAGGCCACCCCTCTTCATAGAGAAGACCATCCAGCTTTACTGTTCATAGGGGAATTTCTCAGGATCCGGGTATCCTGGTCTCAGCTACTCACCCCCATTGCCATTCTTTCTCATTCATTCAGCTTCCTCCCTGTCTCATTGTACACGAGCTCTATTCTGTCCCTGGATTGTAGTCTGTTCCTTTCAGCTTAGTGGTTTTGGAGTCAGGCTCAGGAATATTTCCAGTTGCTTTAGTTGGGACTTCCTCCTCCCAAAGCTTGGGCATGGAGCTGCTTGGAGCCTTTATTCTGGGGCAGGACATGGGCTACAGAGAGGCCCGTTGGCTTCAGGGGTCAGAGCTGAGGCCGTCTGAGGCCCTGCATGCTACTCTGCAGGTCCATCCGAGGCCTGTCTGTGCTACTTTGTGAAGGTTTCCAGGACCTGGCCTACTTCCTGGGTCCCCAGGCACTCTGCCTTCAGGAAGGGGTGGGGAGCATGGCCTGTTGAGAGCTTGAAACGCAGTCTGCCTGCTTGAGCAACATCTCTAGTTGGATGGAATCAAAGGCTGGAAGAAGACAATTCAGGATCTGGGGAGGGATCACGGACGGGGAAGGGGAGGAGTAAAATTCCTATTTATTGATGGACAAGCCAGAAACCGAAAGCTGGAAGGACTTGAGTCAAGGTAAGAAGTCTTTTGTTGGTCACCGGGACTGCCCTCCTTTCATTGTCTCCTGTGGCTCCAGCTTGAGACACGTGGGTGACAGCCTCCTCAAATCACCCTTTACAGTCGTCATATAAATATAATCATATAGGATGGCTCTATAGATGTTATCAGAGTGTTGGGGGACATCAGAGGGATCACAGAACTGCCCATCACTTTATAGCCTAGACCTGAAGACCGAGAAAGGAAGTGATTTGTCATGTCAGTCAGTTACTCTGGAGGGGAGCCAGGCCTGGGATGGAGAAGCTCTTAGGTCTCTGGACTGACTCTACAGTGTCCCAGTGCTTCTAGCCTGGGCCATCAAGGTTTTTCTAGAATGATCTCACTGTCTCATGGGGGTATTTGGCTATCACTCTCAGGCTGTCACTATGTTTGCAGCCCCTTGTCTTCACTTAACTGACGTGGCAAAGTTTCCTATCCAGGGCTAATGGGATGGCTGAACACTCAGTGTTGAGTTGGTAGGGTTAAAAGCAGTTTATGGGCCGCATATGCTAACAACCCAGAGAATGACACTGTATTCATGGAATTGCCAGAAGGGGCTTGCATCCAGAGCAGAACAGCCTGGATCTGTGGGAGGCAGACCTTGGGGGGGGGGGGCTCACAAGGATGTGATGCTGGGTTCCCTGAAGGATGGTGGACTGGCAGACTGACTTATCCTTGCAGGTTTACAGAGAACTGAGCCTTTGCTCAGGGAGAAGCAAGACCTGAAACTGGCCCTCATAGGGAAGGTTGTCTGGGGGTAGAGACACTTGAAGCCCAGCAGATTCCATCAGATGTCAAGGCAGCACATACTACCCAGCTCTACATGTGGGCCAGTCAAAGCCACACAGCTGCTTTTTCTGTACTTCCAGCTTCAGAATAAATCTTCCCACTTCTTTGTTTAAGTGCTGATGGTAGATTTCCTGTGTGCTTTTAATGTCCTTATGTGGCAAAACAAAACAACCCCCCCCCCCCCCAAAAAAAAACAAACTAGGGAAAAAGACAGTCCTTTTCTGTTGATTTTTAAACATCCAGTAAAAATATTATTATTATCATTATTATCATGTGTGTGCACATGTAACACAGCATGTGTTTGGAGGTTAGATGGCAACTTTGTGATTCATTTCTTTCCTCTCACCTTTACATGAATTCTGGTCTGTTCTGGGTTTTATCCTTCCTTTTATTTTTGTTTTTGTTTGTTTTGAGACAGTTTCTCTGTGTAGGCCTGGCTGTCCTGGGATTCTGGCCTTGATCAGGCTGGCCTTGAACTCACAGAGATCCACCTGCCTTTGCCTGGATTAAAGGTGTATCTCTCCATACTCTTTTTATGTTTATTTTTAAATTTGTTTAGAACTATGAATTATCTATGAAATTGAAAGAATCCTGGGATCAATGTTGCACTCTCTGCTGCCTTTCCTAATTTCAAATTGGGTGGTTTCCTAAGGAACCGCATGTTTACTTAGAGAGTATAACCAAACAGAAACAAAAACAAGACCAGATTATGTTTTATGAGACAAGTCAGAAGTTAAGAGGAAAAAGTACCCAGGCTGGCCTGGGACCTGGAACTCACAGTCTCCCTGCCTTAGTCTCTTGAGTGTCGGGATTAGAGGTGTGTGCCAGTAAACCCATAAAAATATATTGTAATCATGCTTTTCTCCTCCTACATCTTTCTATCCTCCCCACCAACCCAACATCATACTCTCTCTCTTAAAACAAACAAACAAGCAAACATAACAAATAAATGCAAAAGAAAAAGACCAAGGAACTCATGGGTGATAGACTGCCCCATTAGTGGCCCCCAATGAATTGAGCCTCCATCATCTATACAGGTCAGGGTGTGGCCATGGGACAAGCTTTGGCTAATTTGCCATTAGTGTGTGTGATGGAAATGGATACCTAAGCACTGCTTTTGTGTTGGCAATTGCTTTCTTGGAAATGAGTTCCTGGGTGAAGAAGTCTGAGCTAGCCATGTGGAAAACTGACCATGAGTCATTTGGGACCACTTAGCACAGACAGCAACCAGGTGACATGCTTTTTGTATATGCATGACCACAAAAGCATGTGTAATTCCAGGTGATTCAACCTACAATAGAATGGAGGTTGGGGGTATAGCCCAGTGGGTGGAATGTTTGCCCAACATTTGTGAAACCCGGGGTTAATATCCAGCATCTATAAACCAGGTATGGTGGTACATGTCTGTAATACCAGGAGTTGGATGCAGGAGGATCAGAAAGGCCATCTTTGCCTATATATAGAGAGCTTGAGGCCAGCCTGGACCTGTCTCAAAATATGAATAAATGAATGGATGGATGGATGAATCTCTCAAAAAAAAAATTACCCCAAATAGGCCCATGTTGATTCTAAAACTTAGATACAAATTCTTATGTATTATTTCATTAAAAAATAAAATCTGAGCATAATGAGGCCTTGTTTAAAAAAGAAGCAGTGGTGGTGAACACCTTTAATCCCAGAACCCCAGAGGCAGAGGCAGGTGGATCTCTGAGTTCAAGGCCAGCCTGGTCTCCAGAGAGAGTTCTAGGACAGCCAGTGTTGTAATCCAGGCAAACCTGTCCCTGACTCACACCCAACTGCATATGGCAGGTGCATGCACCATGGCCCTTTAAAAGAAAAAAAAAATCTATCCACTTCAGCTCTCTCTTTCTTGCTGTTCCTCTGCAGGGGCAGATAGGACTTTTCCTGTCTCCTTCTTTTCTGTCCTCTGTCTCTTTACCTTATTTTCTTACCTCCTCCTCAATAAAACTTTCAATATGAGTCACATTTCCCA